CAATGATGCACTTTCCCCAGGGCCCCTGCACCTCATCCGAGTTACTGAGAGAGGGCAACACTGTGGTTCCAGCGTGAACGTCAAAGAACTTGGACACCAGAGTCTTTTTACTGGCCGGTCCCTCCACCAGGAACAGGGAGCAGCGGTCAGCATCCACCATGATGCACACAAACACCAGGATCTTGTAGCTCAGACTGGTCAAATCCAGGTCGTTGGAGATGTCTTTGACGAGCTCCAGGAAGAACTCCCTCTCGTTGTGCTCCTTCAGGTAGTATTTGTAGTCTACGGCGGTGGAGGGGTACTGAGGGATGTTGACCCGGGACTCCAGCAGCGCGGAGAGGATGTGCGCGGTGGTTGGCGGCAGAGAGCTGGCTTTACGCAGCAGCGCGCGTCTCCTCATGCTGGTCAGCGGCTCCTGGGCTCTGGAGTTAACGTGTTCGTCGTAAGTCCTGTTGGCGTTGATGGCTTTAGACCTGGCGAAGGTTTTCCTCAGCTCTTTCTGCGACGCTCGTCTCTGCAGTCCGTCGCTTCTGCTCGCCCAGCTGTCTTTGCCGCACGCGTTCGCCGCTTTCTCCGCTTCCGCGCTGGAGTTCGCCGGAGTTTTAGTGGCGTGATGGTTCTTCATCCACCTTTCCACCATACTTGCCTTGGCTTTTCTGTTCAGATAGTCCTGTAATAATTCCGGGTGCTCGTCTAGAAAACTTTCAACATCGGAAAAGACCATGTTTGACCCTGCCATTGCTGCCGCGACGGTCATCTGTAAACGAAATGAGAGAGACGCGCGTTTTGCACGGTCATTTATGTGAGTGCAGACTGCCCAACGTTTCATTCGCAAACTTCAAACAACAGATCCTCCGCGAGAGGAGCGGAGTTTAAGCATGTTGCGATGCAGAGCAACTCGCTCTCGTTCATTCTAAAGCAGCGCCAGTGAGATGATGCGACAGAGCGCTTCGCAGGTGCATCGCAGTCGACACGATCAAGCATCCCTCCCTCCATCCTCTTCGAAACTGGGCTGTTTTATTATTAGGACGCTCATCCTCGGTGACACTGGGAAATGGAGTCTCAATGGCTTTTCAAAACTCTCGTGATTATTGTGACGTCGCAAGCAATGCCTAAATGATTGTATGCATGTATTCTTTTAGATTATTACCTATATATTAGTTAAATAAGCCCTTATATTTGTGTTAGGTATGCATAAGACCACATTCCACTATAAAAAATAAAATAAAAAAAAGCACTGCATATTATACTTTCTAAGCGGTTATTTTGCGCCAAACCTCTAGTATCTACTGTACAGGATCTGTTAAATTATATCACTAATTCACTATTTCCCTGTGTAAAGTTGCAGCTCCATCGTCCTCTAGTGGACAAATTGAATTCTGCAGCTGACCAAAAGCATGACCACATCCTTGAATGTGAGGGGTTCCTCGGGCATGTACTGATCTACAGTATAATGTAAGCGCATACTACACTCTTTAAAACAAATGTTGTTTTTTCCATTGTCATATAGAAGAAATGCCTTCTTTTCTTAGTGAGAAGAATCATTTTCCACTATAAAGAACCTTTTTTACAATGGAAAGTTTCAATTAAGGTTAAAGATTCTTCATAGAATCACTGATACCAATGCAGAATCTTTATTTTTAAGAGTGTAGACAGAGTTCATAAACTACATCCGCTTTCAGTGTTAACTGGGGCGAGAACTTTAGCGGCTTTCCTCATAAATAGTCATGATAGCAATCTATGTAAGCTGTCACAATTTTTTTTTTCCCCATTTCGTGATAATAAAAAATCTGGGAAACGCACAAGGGCTGAGTTATTAGTGTCTTTTTATAACTCATGCACTTATCAGATCACGTCGCCACATCACTTCACGTCTGTTGACAGTATTGTGAAGTCTCTACTTGTCATTACATCTTTCTCCTAACAGTAGGAATTTCAATCGAGATAACGTACAGTCTACTGGCAAGTGCAGCGCATAGGCCTATCACAATCTATCACAAACTTTAAACTAGCATTTTTTGTTTTTAAATACATAATGCCTTTAAGTCAATTTCATTACAGGTTTCCTACACATTTGTGTCAAATTCATTTACCAACCTGTCAATATTCTGATTCATGTTAGGCCGGAGTAGAACATGTGCTCTTCTCTGAATACAAAGCTTAGCTTGCATGTGGTAGTATTACACAGATTCCCTTTATCCTTCTTGAAGGTTTACTGAAATCATAATGTTGGAGTTTTGCTAATCCCTGTACACTCTAAAAACATGCTGGGTTATTTTTTAAGCCAAATGCTGGGTTCAGCCTGTTGGGTCATTTTTTATCATTTTTTTTTACCCAGGTGCTGGGTCATTTTTAATGCTGGGTTATTTTTTTCTACCCAACTGCTGGGTTGAGCCTGTCTCCGACGAAACAACGCAGCTGCTGAGTTAAAGTCAGAGAATACATAATGCCTTTAAGTCAATTTCATTACAGGTTTCCTACACATTTGTGTCAAATTCATTTACCAACCTGTCAATATTCTGATTTATGTTAGGCCGGAGTAGAACATGTGCTCTTCTCTGAATACAAAGCTTAGCTTGCATGTGGTAGTATTACACAGATTCCCTTTATCCTTCTTGAAGGTTTACTGAAATCATAATGTTGGAGTTTTGCTAATCCCTGTACACTCTAAAAACATGCTGGGTTATTTTTTAAGCCAAATGCTGGGTTCAGCCTGTTGGGTCATTTTTTATCATTTTTTTTTACCCAGGTGCTGGGTCATTTTTAATGCTGGGTTATTTTTTTCTACCCAACTGCTGGGTTGAGCCTGTCTCCGACGAAACAACGCAGCTGCTGAGTTAAAGTCAGAGCACAGGCTTTTTGAGTCCTCTACAGGAGAGAGCGGTTCTCAGCGCCGCCGATTTGGTGCACTTCTTCAGCAAAATAAGTGCTTTATTTTGTATACATTTTATTTCATCTTTAAAGTCTTTACTGTCCTGTAAATTTTATTATTTTGTGCAACGCAACATAAGGACGATGGAAACGCCTTTTGCCTTGCATAACAAATGGATTTTTTTTCATTACAATACTGAGTTTAATTTAATTTGATGTTAAAATATGTTCTCTAATCTCTGTTTGTTTATGGGCAGGTTTTGGAGTCAGTCACGGCATCTCTCAGCTATGAATGAAACGCGAGGCCGCGGTCTGAAGTTCGCAGTTCCCCGGCGAACAGCAGCCCTTCACCGGCTCAATTTCATCGACACACCGCCACGAGAATTAGCACTGTTTCTGTAAAAAGCGATTATAGAGAAGGGTTGAATACACTTAAATTAAAATGCTACTTTTAAATGTTACATTTTTTGTTTATAAAATGCATGTTGAACGAGTTTAAATATATGTAATATTGTAAACTATGCTGTATTTACCCAAATAAATTAAATTTGTCTTGTATTTCGTCCATGTGTTCTTGCTTAATAATAAATGTTAATCTTTTGTTTATTGCTGTTGCCTCTAGTAATTCTGTGTGATTTTTTTTTTCAGCCCATTTTAAGGCAGCAATATTATACTTTTTAAATAATAGTTGACTTAAATAAAACAACCCAGCATGTTTGATAAAAACGTTTAACCCAACCAGCTGGGTCAAAATAACCCAGCATGTGTTCTGTCCAATATTTACCCAGCTGGGTTGCCAAATAACCCAAGTTGGGTTGTTTTTAACCCAGCATTTTTTAGAGTGTACATTTGGGGATATCTCACACATTTCACAATTCATAGAAATTTTTTTTTTTGGTCTGTATCCAGTATAATTTTGGGGATTACTCAGCTCTTATCTGTGTTTTTTGTTCTGTCACTGTCATTCTGTTACACTGTGGAAGCTTCTGTCACGAAAACAAATTCCTCGTATGTGTAAACATACCTGGCAATAAAGCTCATTCTGATTCTGATGAAATGTAACATCTCATGTAATGCAAAGTAAATAAGTTAAAAGTTCAATTATTGCATAAATAGGGACAGCGCCATCTATCGGTTATAAGTGTATGTAGGCTATTAAGGGTTTCCAAAAGCAGATTCAATGGGAAATGGAGAGGGTATTTTTCACACTTTGAGTAGGCTACTCAATAAATTTACTGGTAAACATTAAAACACAATCATTATTGTTCAACTGTTTAGTATTTTTGTGTTCAACATATTAAGAAACACTCAGTGTTAGGCGTCAAATGCCTTGTTTCAGGCAGATGAAATTAATTGAACTCTGTTTTCATCAAGCTTAATTATGATGCCTTTGTCTATTACCTTGTGTTTTGCATAGGGCTGATTCATGCTCTGCACCACTATTAAACCATTCATTCTCTACTGTGCAGGTAATGTCACAAATTAAGCATTTTAATGTGTTTTGATACTTAATTACCATATGCGTGATGTATTCTAGTAGAGTTCACCACTAGATGGGGATATTTCTAATACATTACTGTTGATTGGCCTGATCTGGGTATGAAGACCACAAGTGTGTGTAAGTCGCTTTGGATAAAAGCGTCTGATAAATGACTAAATGTAAATGTAAATGTGTGTAGAACTTTTGATTACCTGATGGGACACACTTACAACATGGTGTGTTGTGTTAACAAAGTGTTAACTAAGCTTTATTTACACATTTAGATTTTCAATGCTTGGCACTTTAAAATAAACTTCTAAATGTCTGTTTAGTAGTCCCTATGTAATGGAAGACACAATTTAGTTTATGCTTCTAATTAAGTGATAAAAAGCAATTGCAAGCGATGTACAAAAACACATACTCATATGTATCAATACAATGTGCAACACTTTACATTTAGGCTAATACCTAACTATTTTAGTACACTTTACACCAAAATGAATTGTGATTAAACAAGAATTCCATGAACATAAAGTGCCTGAAGTGGTATTATATATATATTTTTTGTATTATATTTGTAGCTATGTAAAAAAAAAAAAGTATCTTCTTCTCCACTTTTTGCATGACTTTCAAGAGACAGACTGATAGACAGAGCTGGGTAGATTACTTGCAAATTGTAGTCTGTTACTGATTCCAAATTACATGACAAAATTGTAGTTAGTAACGTAATCCATTACATTACACATTTTAGGTAATATAATCAGAGTACTTTTTGATTACTTTAAGATTACTTTTGACCTAACTCATTTATCAGATCGATTTAAATAGGATAATCTTTTAGTATATTGATATAAAAATACAAAGAGAAAGAAAATATGTGACCCAGGACCATAAGGTTAAATTTTTTGAAACAGAGATTCATTCATTCAAAAATAGCTTTCCATTGATGTATGGTTTGTTAGGATAGGACAATATTTGGCCGAGATATAACTATTTGAAAATCTGGAATCTGAGGGTGCAAAAAAATCTAAATATTGAGAAAATCACCTTTAAAGTTGTCCAAATTAAGTCCTACTAATCCAAAATGATTTTTTTTAATATTGATATTGATATGAATTTTTTTATATTGAAAATTAAATTTTTTTTAAATATATTTATGGTACAAAATTTACAAAATATCTTCATGGAACATGATCTTTACTTAATATCCTAATGATTTTTGGCATAAAAGAAAAATCAATAATTTTGACCCGTATTGTTGGCTATTGCTACAAATATACCCGTGCTACTTATGACTGGTTTTGTGGTCCAGGGTCACATATACAGTATTCCATTCATTGTTATTAACAACATGAAGTGCATTAAGCATAACATTACCACTGAATGATATTATGATAATTAAAATAAACATTTATGTGTTCGTCAGTAACTGATGCAATGTTGAAATGTTAAAAAAAACTTCTTAAAATTTTTATGATTTTTGTAAATCCAGTGGTCAAATTCTGTGTGGCCTCTCAATTTATAATTATTGCCACATGAACACAAAACTGGAAGACTTTCTGTGATTTCATTTTCCAGCAGGATTTGGTACCTGCCCACACTGCCAAAAGCACCGAAAGTTGGTTAAATGACCATAGTGTTGGTATGTTTGACTGGCCAGCAAACTCACCAGACCTGAACCCCATAGAGAATCTATGGGGTATTGTCAAGAGGAAAATGAGAAACAAGAGACCAAAAAATGCAGATGAGCTGAAGGCCACTGTCAAAGAAACCTGGGCTTCCATACCACCTCAGCAGTGCCACAAACTGATCACCTCCATGCCACGCCGAATTGAGGCAGTAATTAAAGCAAAAGGAGCCCCTACCAAGTATTGAGTACATGTACAGTAAATGAACATACTTTCCAGAAGGCCAACAATTCACTAAAAATGTTTTTTTTATTGGTCTTATGAAGTATTCTAATTTGTTGAGATAGTGAATTGGTGGGTTTTTGTTAAATGTGAGCCAAAATCATCACAATTAAAAGAACCAAAGACTTAAACTTCTGCAGTCTGTGTGCATTGAATTTATTTAATACACGAGTTTCACAATTTGAGTTGAATTACTGAAATAAATGAACTTTTCCACGACATTCTAATTTATTGAGATGCACCTGTATAAGCAGTATGCTATTTTAAAAAGATAAATTCAAAAGATAAAAAAAGAAGATTCAGGGAGAATCAATAAATTATGAATAATTTATTGTCATTGTGAAAAAATGTAATCATGTAATCAATTATTTTAATGGCTCTAGGACAGCATGCAATCAATCAATCAATAAATAAATAAAGATTTTTCAAAATCTAATTATTAAGACCGATTTATTAAGAACTAATTATTAATTATTGCAAAATGCAAGCCATGCATGGGTTCATTTAATTTAAGCACTGGGTTTTGATTTTCTTATTTCTATTTCTTATATATATATATTTTTTTTTATTTTTTTTATTTTTTTTCTCTCTGTCTGCAGTATGGTGACTTTCACCATACATATTCAAAAAAATATTCTTCCTGCTTGTTCATGTTACTTTGTTAAAATGAGCCAAAGCAAAGCAATTCTTGAACATTTTGTCACAATTTGATTTAATTATATTCAATGCATTTAAATTTGTAAAATTTCAACATTTCTATTTTGTAAACATTGTGGGGACTACTTGATTCACTTTGATGACATAACTAACTGGGGAGTAGATCAGTAATTCCCAGCATGCTTTACATGGTACTGCATTAGGAGAGTAAATGTTGAAATGAATTGTTTTTAATGTGTAATTTTGTTTTGTAGTGTTTAATGTTCAGTTTTGATGGACATTTAGAAGAGTTTCTATTATGTTTTTGAGTTTGGTGCGGTTATTTGAGTTTAAAATTGGTCTGTTAAGTTTCCTCAACAAATATTATTTGTTTAAACGAACATTCTGATGATAAAAATTGTCTTTAGTTTTTTGGTGACTTACATTCTGTGTCTAACGCCAAGTGGACGTTTTTACATTAATACATTATGCTAGTTAACACTCTGCCCCAGTCTCTTTCTGATCCTGTTCTGCTTATTTACACTTTTCTCTACTGTGATTGTGGAGAAACTACACATATTGATCTCTGGCCCGTTGGGCTGTGGTTTCAGCTGGCGCTGTGTGTTCAGACTCCTCCAGCATCCACAGAGCCCCTCAGACTGGAGCAGAGGATCAAAACCCTTCATTGTGTGGCGGCCATTAGTCCATTATCCTCTGCTCTTTCTGTAGGTGATCAGGAAGCTGTTCTCTGCACTTCCTGTGTCACACCTGCTCACCCTATACAAACAATCAGAAGCATTTATCTAGTCTGATCCTAACAAGACAATCCAGCCATGACTGCTGTGAGTCAGATAAGTGTGTGTCACTGGCCACCTGCTCAGTGTAACCAGGGGAGCTAGTAAAAATGTGTGATTAAATGAATTTCTTCACATCAATTCATTCAAACAATGTACAACATCATACCATAACATACCAATAATAAACAAATGAAAATTAAAACACTCACCTCGTCTTTCACCCATATGAGCCATTGACAATCTCCTCCAAACTCCAATAAAACAATACATAAGTGAAAATTTTAATTAATTAATTAATAAAAGAAAGAAAGAAAAAAAAAAGAAATAATTCCGAAATAAGAAGAGAACAATAAAATCAAACTTTCCTCAGAAATAACGTTAATCTGAAATTCTTCAAAAATAAAACTCTACTCATATCCTCCGATCTCCTAAAATAAAAGTCTCTTCTCGCTCTGAACTCAGTAAATATTCTCCAGAAGTCTCTGAAGTCGCCTCGTCTCTCAACCAGCAGATATTGATGGGTTTGAGTGTTTATATATGCAGAAATCATATCATAACACGCGTCGCTATAGCAACTACAATTCGCGTGCGTAACGTTAAGTACAACCAAAGACTATTGAAAACCTTAATAAACTCTAATTCAATTTAGCCAGAGCTCATAATAGCATCTCTGATTTATACTCATTTATGCCTTTATTAATAAATCTCGCAAGCTAATATTGAAAAGTGCATAAAAATTCAATGTATACGATAAATGCGTGCGCTCGCGCTGTTGTAACGTTACTCACGCACTCGACGTCAGGCGTGCATAGATGTGAATCGAATTGTAGTTGCTATAGCGACGCGTGTTATGATATGATTTCTGCATATATAAACACTCAAACCCATCAATATCTGCTGGTTGAGATACAGTCTATGGTTGAGAGACGAGGCGACTTCAGAGACTTTTGGAGAATATTTACTGTGCTGAGTTTGTTGTTTTCGACGGACTTCAGAGCGAGAAGAGACTTATTTTAGGAGATCGGAGGATATGAGTAGAGTTTTATTTCTGAAGAAAGTTTTATTTTATTGTTCTCTTCTTATTTCGGAATTATTTCTTTCTTTTATTAATTAATTAATTACATTTTTCATTTATTTATTGTTTTTATTGAGCTGGAGTGGTTTGACCGTCCCGGACGCTACACCATGATCCTGGAGCGCCCACTTCTTTGCCAAGATCTGGAGAGTTTCTGTGAGGAGAACGGACGCCTGGAGGAGAGCCTGGCCAAGAAAGTGCTGCTGCAGCTGATCACGGCGCTGAAACACTGCGAGAGCCGTGGAGTCCTGCACCGGGACGTCAAACCAGAGAACCTGCTGATCTCCACAGAGTCACATGACATCAAGCTGCTGGACTTCGGCTGTGGAGATCTGCTGAAAGACTCGGCCTACAAACACTTTGCAGGTTGGTTTGATCTCACTGCAGTGATCTGTGTTTGTTTGTGGACTTTTGATGATCGACCGAAGGGAATCTGTTTGGACTGGAGCCTCTTCAGATGATGTTTGTGGTCTTGTTGGGTCTCTCAGGCACTCTTCAGTACGCCCCTCCTGAGTGGTTTCGGCGGCACCGCTATCATGCGGGACCGGATACGGTTTGGTCAGTGGGGGTGACGCTCTACAACATCCTGTGCGGCTGTTTCCCCTTCAGAGGCGCATTGAGGGTCACCTCCAAAAGCAGACTGCACTTCCCTAGAGAGCTGTCGACAGGCAAGAGACAGAAATCACGTCCAGATCCAGGTGAAGTGTGTGGTTTTGTGTTCCTGAACACTGTGTTGTGTGTAACAGAGTGCCGTCAGCTGATTCGCTGGTGCCTCAGTGCAGCGGCATCAGATCGGCCCAGTTTAGACGACATTGAGCGCCACCCCTGGTTACACTGAGCAGGTGGCCAGTGACACACACTTATCTGGCTCACAGCAGTCATGGCTGGATTGTCTTGTTAGGATCAGACTAGATAAATGCTTCTGATTGTGTGTATAGGGTGAGCAGGAGTGACACAGGAAGTGCAGAGAACAGCTTCCTGATCACCTACAGAAAGAGCAGAGGATAATGGACTAATGGCCGCCACACAATGAAGGGTTTAGATCCTCTGCTCCAGTCTGTGAGGGGCTCTGTGTGGATGCTGGAGGAGTCTGAAGTACAAACATGTTTAGTTTTTCCACAATTACATTAGAGAGAAAAGAGAAAAGTGTAAATAAACATAACAGATGCAGGAAGAGAATAAAGTAGAGTGTTTACTAGAGATAAATCTTAGAGATCTAATAATTTAGTAGGTGGTGATGAATAGAATGGAAATCACCCAAAAAAAAAAGATACTATAAACTAAACATTTTATGCTCAAAACAACAACAATATACAGTGAGGTAATTTGCGGCACTTAGCCACATTAATGGTGCCAGTGGGACTGCACAATCTTTGTAGATGTGTATTAGAACAGAGAAAAGAAACAAGTAATAGTAATAAGAAATAGAAATGTAAAAAAATTAATTGTTTAGGTCAAATAAGTCCAGCAGGAGGTTATGCACATACAGTAGACTACGAATCTCCTATTAACTAAAGACATAATATAACATATTTTAACAAAGTAGCTGAAGTTTCAAAATTACTCATTTGATTTACAGTTTGAACTCACAGTCATTGTTCCTAATCGGAAACATGAATTAGTGTCCCATTTGGACACACGTTCTTTTCAGGCTCACTGATTTGAAGTGCACCACTATGTAATATTCTGGGTGACCAGAGGTAAGGTTTTCCAGAATACAGTGTATTTATTCAGTAAAATCATCCTCCTTTATTCAGTAAAATCATATTCCTTTTTACATTTTTATTTATTTATTTATTTATTTAGTCATTTAGCAGACGCTTTTATCCAAAGCGATTTACAAATGAGGACAATAAAAGCAGTCAAAACTAACAAAAGAGCAACAATATATAAGTGCAAATGACAAGTCTCGGTTAGCCTAACGCAGTACACGTAAGACCAAACGCCATTTCAGCACGTCTCCACGGTAAACAAAACAAGCGTTTCCTAGCAACGATAACTGCGCTAAACACTGAGACAAGAAATAAATACACTTACAAGCTGCTTTTAACTTCTGCTGATTGACTGCTTCTCACAAAGAGTATTTCTTTACACTGTTTTGCTGGCGCTTGAACACACTTTCCTGTTTATCACAACAAATGGCCAAGCAAAGCGCACGACACTGACAAGGTACGCGATACAGTACGAGACCAAAGGCGATTTCGATTTTTACATACCTATATACTTCCAGTCTTTATCTACCTTAGTCATCCTCAAGGTACCATAATATGAAGTTTGGTTCCAAAACGCGATAAACGCCATTTAAAAAAAAAAAATTTGAGTTCCCACCAAAATTAGTATTGTATCTGGTCGGTATTGAAAAGTCCATTTTTAATTTTACGCAAAATGCGATATCCGCCGTGCTATTCTGTCGTGTTTTCTCCCTATCTTTCCAAACCGCGACAAACGCCAGTCTCCCTTCTCTGCAGAATGCGATACATCCGCTCAACCAATCACAGCGCACCATTCCACGCACTGTAAACAGTAACAACCAATCACAGCGCACCATTCCACGAACTGTAAACAGTAACAACCAATCACAGCGCACCATTCCACGCACTCT